GGGTTTAATATTTTTCCTAGAACTTTTTTTTTTTTTTTTTTTTTTTTTTTTTTAGGGAAAAATTTTTTTTTTTAAAAAAAAAAAAAAAAAAAAAAAAAAAAGTGCAAGGACTTAAATGTACCCTAGAAAGCAAACTATTGCCTGCTGAGGCAGCCAGTGTAGCATCCACAATGCCATTTTCACCTGCAGCTTCTACTAATCCAGGCTGGAAAGGGCACTTGAAAAAGGACTGAAATGCAAAGTTGGGGGGCAAATCACCAGTATTATTTTCAAAGGTGTCAGTAAAATGCATGAAGTATTAGCAAGGTTATATTTATGTTTTCCATTCATACACAGACTTCAGCTTCTCAGGATACTCTTACCTATCAACTGTCAGTGTTGTCAACAATATACATTAACAGGAGTCTCCTGTTAATCCAAACCCACATCCAAACCACAAACGTATTCAGCCATCTCTTGATTATTTGCTTGTTATTAACAAGGCTGATCCTGTGCAGAGATCACACCAGACAGGCCAGAGGAACAGCCCACTGCTGCTCCCTTCTGCAACGCTGCAGGCGAAGGGCCCGACTCCCCACCTCGCTTACACAGCATGACAGCTTTTCAGGGGAATCACCCCTGGCTCATACCAGCCCACGCAGGCAGCAGCTGCAGTTTTCTAGGGCAAAAGCAGCTGTGGAATTAATAATTGGGTTCCCAAGTTCTCTGCAAGAGAAAAATAAGCATTTGTGTCCAGGCACGAGCACAGGGGCAGATCTGACAGCGCAAGAACACAGCCAGCTTACCAGTAGAAGTGCTCCTCCACCATTTTTGTCACAGCTCTGGAAACAGCTCTTTCATGCGGACCAAGGTGTTTATTTAAATTCACTCCAAGTTTCTCTTCCAAAAAGTCAATAATGAACTCAGTGCCAGACACTTTCTTGTGATTGTATTCAATCCAAGGCATTTTGCCTTGAGGGGAAAGTTTTCCATCAAAATAGTTCTAAGAAAAAAAAGCAAGTAAACAAATAAACATATTGACAATAAAGGCCCTTCAAGGTTCTGTTTCAGTGAGAATAAAGCTTTTAAAATATTTTTCTGTGTTTTTAAAAGGCAATTTTTTTTTAAAAATTAATACTCTAGACTAGTGGTAGCTGTTCAATCACAACACAAGATTTACCCTATATAATTCAGATAAAACTATTTCCAGGTCCTGCATGGTGTTACACGCTTTCATGCCATTTGACGTAATGATATTTAAGTACCCAGGTTATTTAAGGGTTTGGAGATGCTCAGATCTCCCAGAAGATTGTGTTTCTTACTTGTCGTGATTTTTAATCAAAGGACTGACACCTAAATTTGGCTCTTGCACAGAGCAGCACTTTTCACATTAAAAGTACATTATGCAGATTCATTCACTAACTATCTCAGGCAGCTACATTACCTCCAAACACACACACTGACAAGCGTGTAGTGAAAGGCCTAGCATTCCTACACTAGGCAGGCAGGAAATCTGCTTTTTCCCATGCTTCTGCAACTTTGTAACTTAGAAATCTCATACGATTACAGACCCACTTGTTAAAATTAGGTATCCAAGAGCCCAGCACCAGCACAGCACTACTGCACCAGCAAATGCTGGTCTATCTGCTCAGTGTAGCACTCATGTAGCAGCAGCAATGTATTCTACCCATTTTACAGTTGGAGAAGGAGAAAAAACAGAGATTAGAAAACTTATGTCTCATGTGACAAACACAAGAGGAATTGCTATCTTCCAAAACATAATCAGACATTTGACTTCAATTCTCTCTTACTCTTGAAGGCAGAACACAAGGCAGAACTTTCTATTTTCTTGTGATTCACTTCCTCAAGTCCTGTTACCTAGTGAATGGAAAATCCCAGCTCAGAGACCCAAACCATAAAGGCTCACAATAAATGAGCTCCGTGTTCAGTCTCTGGCAGTCACCCTAAGCATTTTGGGGATTGGGTTCCTAATCGCTGGAGGTTTAGGGTCAGCAGTTCTAGACCTCAAATATTTACCCTCCTTGAATGCACTAAAGGTGGATTAAGGTCCTCCCACAGCAAGAAGTGTACACCAGGAGAGGCCTCCAGCTCAGTCTGAGAGCTCAGCATCCTGGGTACTGCTCGAAACACGGACGGGCAAAGCACTACCAACACACGGCCATTCCTGGAGGCTCTTCCCTCATGGAGGAAAACAGCAGAAATGGATAGCGCTGCTGGGAAAACAATGCCTTCTGGCTACAGCCTTTTCTGGGATTTCTGCCCAAAGAAATAGCATGGCAGGAACACAGGATTAAATAATGTCTCATCAACTGCATCCCTACATGGGTGAATAAAGCGACCGAATCTACCCCGCCTGCACGTCATAGGGGTTATTACTATGGTCCATGGGAAAACCTCTAAAACTGCTGAACACCTGAAGCTGAAGAGAGAGCACTGCCCCATCCTTCCACCTACCAGGCCTTCCCTTCATCAAAAAGGCTCTTTTAGCATACTCAGACTGACAGGTTTCCATAATTTTTCATTATTAATTTACTATGGAATCATAAGCTTTTTCTGGAACTACACAGGGTGTCTATATGGCACTGAGCACCACTGCCTTAATCTTTGCTAAGCCCTTTCAGTAAGTATGAAATTTCCCTTCTTGTGCACAAACACTGCTGTTTTGCAGAAGCTACTAGACTTTAAAATGTGTTTATTACATATAGCAATTACTGTAGTTCCTATCATCTGCAACCCAGAAAAAAAGCAAGTTCTTGTTATTCAACTACACATTTCTTCAAGTACACATATTATATATAATACATATGAATACACTGCCTAAAAAACGTAGTACTGCATCAATATTACACACTCAAAAACATAAATGAGAGCTAAAGTTCTTATAGGAAAGTTGGCTCAGGTAAGCTTAGAAAAGCCTTCTCAAGGTTTTCATGTTTCATTATATATAGTTTATCAAACAAAATAGAAAACATGTTTCAATGACCTGAGAAAACCTTAGTCTCTTGACAAATCCGTTACACTGTTCCTGCATCCACTGTTCTCAAATGGGTAATTTTAGGCTTGAAACCTCAGTACCCTTATGGCTTCTACTAATTGCCATCAAATATTTATCAATTTTCCACTTAAAAATTGTTCCAGCTGCACAGCAGAGAAAAGCTATGGTATTATCATTAAGAAAAAACAAGAACAACCAAACAAAATATCCCCTCATACCTCATAGTATGTTTAACTGAACTGCAAAACAACAATAACAAAGCTCCCCAGAACCTCATTTATAGAGGAATTTATAAACAGAATGCCGTAGGGCACTTCCGAGGTAATTTTATAGTACTATCCAGAAAAAATTAGGTTGCACATCTTCTATTACTGCTGCTTATGCTTTTACTTTTACTCATGTCTCTTCCCAAGGAGGCTACCATCTTCACAGACCTGGCACGAAAACAGCACTTTCCTGCCCTGCTAATAACTTATCAGATTACATAAATGCTCAGCTCTCTGTATTCATGAGGGAATCAAAGAACACCCAAAAGATCTCCACAAACACCCAGAATGGGCTCTTTCAAAGCAAGATTTATCAAAAAAAGCATCAAAAATTTGAAAAAAACAGCTGGGTACTATGACAGCCCAGCCAGGGGAAGCAGGGGCGAGGAGGCTGCCGGAATATTTTTGATGGAGAACTCACACCTAGAAAGGCAGCTTCAAGAGAACGTCAGCACTTCACAAGAGCACATCTGCTGGGAGAAATTCCCATGAGAGTAGGGTAGGAATGTGTCACCCAGTCCCACTTCTCACGCGCCATTAAAGCATGTTGTGTAACACACCCCACGTTATTCAATAGCCTGATGCACTATAATAAACACAAGGAATGGGAAGAGTAAAAGCAGTCTAACCACCTCCCGCTGCCTTTTCTTCACCCTGTTTCACCTCCCTTCAAAGCATCCTCTTTCTGGGAAGGTGAGGACCACAGCAAGTCTCCAGAGGCAAACCCCAGCACCAGCTGCTACCCAGAGTGCTATTGCTTCTCCATCACTGCTCCCTCCAGCAGGCAGAGAAGCGAGCTGTTTCCTCCTGCATCCAGCCATACCCCCCTACACACCCACCCCACTGCCTGCCAGGGGGACTATCAGATGCCTTTGTCACCTACAATGTCCTGCACAGGTAGGTAACACAGCCATGAGGGAATAAACTAAGTCTCCAAGTACAGGAAGCTTCCTAACTCCAGCTGAGAACAGCACTGCCTGCTGGCTCCCCTACCTCTTCATCCCATCTATACCTTCCTCCACCTATTGGAGCCAAACACGGCACCATAATCCTAACATCAGGACAGAAAAAGAATCTGCCTCTTCCAGAAAAAAAAAAAGGTGCATCCTCAGCTTGTAAGCTTAGCTCCACCAAGCTTAGCCCTAAAATCCTTCATATGGCAGGTATCCCCACAAAAATCTTAAACCCATATAAGCCAGCACGGCTAAAAGCTGCAATCTGGTGATCCCAGCATCTGTGGGACCCGTTCCTGCTCCTGCAGCACTGCAAGTGGGGAACAGAGATAGGTTAAAACCAACTAAACCAAACCTTCAGGGCTCCAGCTAGGCCAGCTCTGGTCCAGCCTGATCTGCCACAGAAAAAAAACACGTGCAGGAAGGGACAGGAGGGAGACACCAGATGCTGAAGGTGGGACTGTTGCTTTTGGTGGTTCTGCTGACCTACGCCAGCTTAGGTGCTCACAGCTAGAGAGTAAGGACAGAGAGAGATGCAACCCCAAAAAGCAATCCAGACCATCAGGACAGAGAATAAAGAGGAGAAGATAACCTTCTGGAAAAACCTCTCTCTCTCCCCAAAAAGCTGGGTGAGTCACTTCTACCCAGCATTAGCTGTCTAAACAATTCCATCTTGAATCACACAAATGTGCAGTATTATCTTTTAAAAATGACCCATAGCCAGTCACAACCATCTTTTATAACCACAGCTGGCTTTAACTACTCTCCACCAGAGCAACTTTGATCATCACAAACCTCTGAACTGCATCTACTCCCATTAAAAAGAAAACAGATCTCACCAATATAGTTTTCCCCTCAAACATGCAATTTCTACCCAACTACTCCGGGTGGAGATGCAATGGGCACTAAGTCCTCCTGCGTCAATGACACGTTCAAACTTCAGTTATCTTGCAGGTTCTGTAAACCTAAATGAGGAAAATACATCCCACGGGACAGAATCTCCCTCTTTTAATGCTCTGAAGTATCCAATTCAAGTACCATTAAGTCGTAAGACAATGAACATTAAACTCAGGCTTTTAAAGACTTAAGCAAAATGTACTAATTATGTTTTCTCTCACTTCCGATGTAAAGGAGTTTAATCACATATAAAGCTGAATGAGTGTCAACCACAACTGAGTTAAAAAAAAAAAAACAACACAGTTGTAATATGGTTGGTTTTTCTCTGTAAAATACTGGACATAAACAAAACATTCTCCCTTACACCTTGGTCTGCAGAAGTTAGAAGTGACTTGAGCTCATGTGGGGTGAGCGGGCAACTTACCCACAGCTCAGCCTCTCTGGGACAATGAAAGGTGCCAAATTTACATCACTCGGGGGAAAAAAAGAAGAAAGAAAGAAAAAAAAAAAGAGACATTTCTTCCATCTAAGATACTCGTTACGTCTGTCACCACTGATGTACCATCTTAAATATGCTCAATACTTTACGGAACCAAATCTGTCCCACATTTCACAGAGCTTGCAGGCTGTACAGCCTGTGACACCGCAACAAGGTGCACGCCAGACTCGCGGCGTCACCCCTAAACCTTGACACTAACAGGTGAGACTCTGACATTCCAATTTCTGCTTTCCCAGCTTTAATGCACCAGGAGTAGTTCAGGCTTCATCCCCCACGGGAAGCTGGCCCAGGATGCACCCAGCCACAACTAAGGAGCGGCATTCATGCCCTCTAAAAGCAACCCTGCCTCCCTGCACTGGAGGGGAAGCACCAGTGATGGGAGGTGAAGCAAAAGGCAAGCACGTCTTCCCAGGAGAGCTCCAGAGATAAACCCTCCAGAAAAAGAAGAAGCTGCAGCTGCCTAATCTTGACCTCATGGTGAAATTCAAAAAGACCAAATAATGTTACACTTTTGTTTTGGGGTTCACTTTGCATTATATAAACTCCAGACTACTCTCCCACTTCAGCGCTTCCAGCCAAGGCAGCTTCTGACATTCAATTAGCTTTGCCAGCAAAACCCAGAGCTGTTCCAGATCAATCTTATTCAAGCCATTATCTTTAAAGGCCATACACCAAATTTAAGCAGAGACAAAAAAGCATCAGGGTACCCACCTCGTTGTAGGTGTATGTTTACACCTCCCCGGGTGAGACAGACTGAGGGGGAGAGGGACAGAAGCGGGGGAGGCCTGTCTGGCATTTCATGAAATCATAGCAAACCGCAGCGTAAAGGAAAACTGCACAGACGTACCTGGTAGGGGAGATCAGCCATCCTTAAGTAAGTTTCCATTTTCAGGCAGAAGGGAGACAGGCTGGGAACGCCGTTGGTAGGCCGTGAAAACTGATGCAGTATGATAGCATCTTTCGAATCAAGCTCTTGCTCTTTCCTGCCAAAAAGAAAACAGAATTAAGAAAAAAAAAATAAAAAAATAAAAAAGCAGGTGCATCATTCACAGGATACACCAGTACATCGAACAGACAAAGGACATCTGGGCCGAGGCAACACACACATCCTCCCTCAATGGGCCGCTGCAGGTTTGTGATTCATCGGATCCAGCGAAAAGGAAGGAGAGGAAAAAAAAAAAAA